AACAATAACAAATGGTAATTATTGTTATAAAAGATATTTCTGAATAATAAATTAAAGCTGTAAACACCTCCTTTCCTCATGAACAAAAGCATTTTTCTCTGGGTTTGGTAAGTATGCCTATCAAATTTGGGAGCTATGCACAGAAGATTTTGTTTCTGTTATGTATAGTGAACAAACAAACCTTTTCCATTTGAGATATATATATATATATATATATATATATATATATATATACATACCTCATAACAAAATTGATTTAAAAGAAAATTTGAAATAGACCAATTGAAAAAGATTTTTTTTATTTTTACTTTTTTTTAATATTAATCTTTTAATATCCAGTAAGATATATAAAACTATTTCTGCCTCAAGGAGGCAGGTTACATTTTGCTAGTTATTTAAGATTTGCATAATTTGGCACACAGTCATAAATTGCTAAAAGTACCTGCTGTTCTTGGATGTGCAGGTGGTGTAATTGATAGTGGTTCAGAATGAGAAATCAGAGAGCAGAGTTTGAAATCCAGTTAAGTTCATTACATTTATTTACATGCAAATAACCATGGAAAAGGTATGAATCCATATTGTCCTCCCAATTAAATAGTAGGACTTGTACCTGGAAAAATCATTTTCTCAAAAAATTATTGATGTAATATTCACTCACAATAACAATTATTTTTGCAATTGAAAAGGTTTTGGCTTTCAATAAGCACAAACAGTTGATAAACTGTAAAAAAAAACAAACAAAACAAATCAGTCATTCCTAAGTGAAATATTTACTAAGTACAAGGTTAAATAAGAATAAGATAGTTTTCTCACTGAAGAGGGCTTTCATGCATAGAAAATAAGTTTTTAAACTTCTGGAATTTACTTAGGCTTGTACAACCTCTGGTGAATGATATATAACTATTTTTGCTACAAGGCTGCTGATTATACTTCAGGACAGGCATCTCTCGATTAATGTGCATTTGATTAATGCATTTTTGTTCAGTGTGCTAAAATTTTCATATACGAAAATTTGATTAGTGTGATGAAACATTCTTCAGTTTAACCACAGTAACTGAAATTTTCTTTTTTTTTTTTGTTATAGTTACTGATGTACAAATTACACACTAGAGTTGGTTGGTTTGGCAATTTATGTTTTGGTATTGGTTTCTGTTTTTTTTCCTTGACACCATGGTTTTTGATTAGGTTTTGCGGTTTTTAATTTAGCATTTTTGTTTTCTAAGGAAGCCATTCATTTTCTTGTGTAATGATAGCCTTTCCAGTCAATATCTGATTTCATTTGAGATTGATAAATTTGGAACTTAGTCTGTTTAACTTGCAATATCTTGTGTATTTCTGGTACACTCTTAAAAATATTCATATGGATAATCTTTCTAAATATGTAATTTGTATGCGCTTTTATTCATTAAATTATTTTTTTTACATCAAATTAAAACGGTATTTGGCTTTGAACAGCGGAAAATGCAATTTTTTTTTTTTTTTTTTTTTTTTTTTTGAGACTAAATTTTACATGTTACTTTGTTTTGCAAAATCAGTGACCAATCTTTATCAATATTCTTGAAATTGTACCCAATTAGAAAACACTTTAAACTACAACCAGGAAGATGTTCATTTCTTCTCTGACATGAGGAAACGAATTCTTTCAAAAATTATAAAGTAGGGGTGAAACAAAAAACTGATAGTAAATATGTGGTGAAAGAATTTTCAAATTATTGAAACTGCTGTCTGACACTGTCTAGTGGCTTAATTTTTACTTTGGGTTTTAAAAAAATGACTTGCAGTTTTGAAAATATATACATTTTAAAACTGAAATTAAAATTTACTTTATTTTTTAATATCTACTAATTTTAGGTATATTATTCACTAGTGAGATAGAAACAATTTTGTTTGTAGAAAGCAAATAATTTTTTTTTTACACTAGAGACTTGCATATCTGGAAATATCAGTCAGTTATGTGTCATGCGTGACACATGCTTAGGCAATCATGTATCTTTTGATACATGACTGACGAGGCAGATTTTTTCCTGCAATAAGTTGCCTGTGAGAATTTCTTCTCACACGGTTTAACCCCGACAGAGACAAGAAAAGACATACAATTCAAACAAAGCCTACCTTAAAATTCAATACAAATTTTATTTCGTCTTTGCAAAAAAGATTATGCCCTTTTGCGCCCCTGTGAATAGGGTGGGGTAGTTACTTCAAAGAAGTGGTAGTATTTTTCTTCTCTGTAGGACTCAACTGGTCTCTATGCAGATTCGAAGAAGCAGGAACTTGACGGTCGTCGAACAGGAGCATTACCAATTTGGTTGCTGAAATAAAAACTCGGCTATTTGTCGAGAGCATGCAGAAAGGTTCTTCATGCAAAAGTACATAATGTGACGACAGTCAATAAACCGACTGAATTGCTCAGCCTTAAAAAGTCTCTAGAATATGAGACAAGAAGTCATTTAGGCTTAATTTTAGGCGCTAAAGTCCCTGCAATGTGAGAGAAATGTGAGTCCTGTCATCTCGAAGATTTTGCAGCAACTGAAAAAAAGGCACGTGCAGTTGAAAATGCCTGTGAAAGGCAAAGGAAAAATTCAACTAAAGAGCTTGGTCGGTACAAAAATACGGTGTGGCATAAATTAGCCAATAGGAGCTTAGCTTTAATTGCAGAATTTCTCACATGCCATTTCTTTCACTACTTGCTATCCAAGGCTTTAGAACCAGGTCTCTCCTGCCATTTACCCATAGCTGGGGGGAGAAGAAGAGGATTCATACTTTTCCCAAGGTTATTAGCACGTAAGTGAATGTAATGGATTCGAGTGGAATTTGAACTCTGCTCTCCGATTTCTCACTCTGAACCGCTATTCATTACTCCACTGTGCTCCCCCTTACTCCACAGTGCTCCCCCCCACTCCACTGTACTTCTGGAAATATACACATTTTAAAAGTGAAATTAAGAACTATTTTAATTATTCTTAATATCTAATTTAGGTGCATTCCTTAGATAAAAAAACAAATTTATAAAAAAAAAAAAAATCTGTAAATATTGGTTTTCATAGTGCATAGTGATTTTCTGCAAGGAAAGTCTGTAAAAGAAGTAAATCGGCCAAATTTTCTTATTACGCCGGCGTAGGTATCCCGCATTGAATTGAGATTCATGATGGCACCAACAAGAAGTCCGTTTTTTTTTTTTTTTTATTGTTGATAACTCCAAAACGGTAAGGTTTCTTCATAATTTAATTGTTAATTCGAGTTCAGCATGTACATTTGCACGGAATTATGATGATTTTGGAAAATTTTTTAAGGGATATTATTGCACGGTTAACAAAACCAATATTTACCAAAAAATCGTTATTCATTTTTCTTGTTTACGACAACTTTAGTCTTTATTTTGTGATTGGCTTACTAGAAAACCCTTACAAAAAAATCTGACTCCTTAAAATTTAACATTTAACTATTTTTTTTGTTAAGTTAATTTTACTGAAAACATCTGAAAGTCTTGTTTCTTTTAGTGGTCATTCAGTAGTAATAGCACAGAAACCGAACGATTTCGGTTTCGTAAAAAAATTTGATGGGTTCTAACGGTGTGAAGATGAAACTGAGAAAAGTTGGTTTTTCGGTTAAACCGCTCATCTCTAATCCACACTAATCAAGGGATTCTTGAATTAGCAATTTGCATCTTTACTGATTTGTCAGTGCATTTAAAATCAGTACTCTGATTATTCTTTTTTTTTTTTTTTTATGTGCCATGTCCCTTCAGGATGTAGGCGATCATGGCCCTCTATATCTGCCTGTCTCTTGTAGCTCTTAATAAGTTTTGTCTTTTGTTTTGTTATTTCTCCCAAACCCAGTTCTGCAATCCATTTACTCAAGCACATCATGTATGTTTTGTGCTGTTTTCCTCCGTCCCTCTTTCCCAAGCTCTCCTTCCTCATTATATGCCCCAGAAATTTCAGCTGCCTCTTCCTGATGTTAAATATGTTTTCTTTTTGCTTTCATTTTCTCTAAAATCTTGTTTGGTCTATGGTATCCTCAGCATCTTTTTGTAGAACCACATTTTTGTTGCTTCAAGTCTCTTCATCTTTGAGGAAATTGTCCAGCATTCACTGCCATACAGGAGGACAGATATCTCATAACAGTTCAGTACTCTTTTGTTTATTCTACTGGTCAGTAATTGTCATTTTCTGGTTAAACCTGTGTATTGTGGATTTTAAGGTTTATGTTTTTAGAAGGTGTGTTCAATATGTAAACAAAGATAGAAGAAGCATACAAAAAAAAAAAAACTTGAGTTTCTGCTATGGACGTTTATTTCTTTTATGTTGATTGTATTGGAACAATGTTAAATGTCTCTTCAGTATGCCTGTTTTTCTTTTTGGTTCAGAAATAATTTATGGGAAGTAAGGATAAGAACAGGTAAAGATGGTCAAGCTCAAGTCAGGTTTGCACGGAGTTTAGATGGCTGAATCTCTACTCCATGAGTAGGGCTACTAAAAAAACATCCAATGTCATTGGTAAGTGCAAAAAGGTTAGCTGTCAGTGGACCCGGGGGGAAGAGGGGGGGAACTAACATCCCAGTGGGAACACTATTACCATGTGGTTCACATCTTGAAGCCAAGAGTAAAAAGAGAGAGACATTCTGTCCTTTCTGGAAGTGGGGTCATAAAATTGCACATGTGACCAGAAACCCCTTCCAATTTCTTTATAACTTACCTCATGGGAAAATGAATTTATTTGTTTGCATTTGTTATTTTATTTATTGGTTTTATTTCATTTTCCCCACAGTATACAACATATTTTTGAGATCGCAGTGAAATTTGCCACAACAGTGTATCTTTATAAATATATTTTCTTTGATGTTGACCGTAACAGTAATTTAAAAAAAAATCCTGCAATACCAGATGTTGCTGCATTTTTTGCATGTAACTTTTGATTTTTTAATAACATTAAATACAAGATTATTTAACTTCTGTACTGATGGCATTTCACTAATGTACTTTCTTTTTCTTTTTTTTTAGCAATTTATCGTTACCACGAAGATAAAGAAGAAAGATTAAGCCTAACTCTTGGTGATACTGTATGCATTGAAGAAGAAACAGATGGTGAGTACTTGAATGAATTTGTAAATTATCAAGCAGCCATAATTCATTTTGTTGAAAAGCACCAGCTAATGCTTGTATTACATTATTGCAGATTTTACAAGTTATAAGCAGATGGATTGAAGTGATTTCTTTTTAAAATTTTTTTGTAGTTATTATTGACATTTTTGGTGAAACCTTTAAGTTTTTCACTTTTTTTCTACTATTATAACTGCTAGGATAAACCTAGGTTTCTCCATGGCTTAAAAAAAATCTGGTGCAGTAATTAAAATACCTTTTTGAAGTTTTAATTTTGGTTTTGATCGCAAAGAAATAGCTCAGAGTTGCTGAAAAAGAAAAGAAAAAAAGTTTTGTATACTCAAAAGCTGATTTTAGAAGGGATTTTTGTTATTCAAAATGAATTGTACTATGATTGATGAAAGTCTGTTTAAGTTTATAAAAGTATCTTATAGAATGTATGGGTGTCTAAAATGGCAAAATCTTGTTTTCTCTGTATGCAAAGCTCATATGCTAAAAAGTGCTAAGAGTACCCAAAGGAATAATTTTATTTTCTTAAGCATCTTCCATAGAGACTAAGTATATAATTTCTGTATATAATAAAATAAATACATAATTTTAGTATTTAAAATTTCCAGTTCATTTTTAAACATTTTCAAAATTTATTTTCAGATTTTTCTTAGTTTTATTTTCAAATTCTGAATATATTTACTATATTTCTGGTTGAAGTTTCAAATAAAATTTCAACTGATTTAATTTCTCCAGGGAATTATATAAATGTAAATATTTTTATCTTTTAAAAGATGTTTTAATGAAATTTGTGTTCCATAAAGCTATTTCCATATACCTTTATCAAGATACCTTCACGTAATTAAATTTTTTCATAAAGGAATATGAACCAAAAATCTTATTGAAATCAAGTTATTAGATAAGTTTGGGAAGAATTAAAAAAATTTTTTTTTTTTTTTTTTTTTTTGTAAAAAATTCTCATGTTGTCACATTTCTTTTTCTTTTATCCTTTCACCTGAAGCAAGGCAATAAAGCCATTAAGATGCAAGGGCTTATCAAGTGTTAGTATTTTTTTCTCATATTCTCTAAGGAGAGAGAAAAATAAAAGAACAAGAATTAAGAACACAGAAGATAAGATAATGGTTGACATTACATTATAAATTTTTGAAGATCAAAGTTGTCAGGGAAGTAAGAAGCTGAAAGAGAGATCCACAAGTAAGAAGTATGATACAAGAAACTGTTAGCATTAAATTGGATACATGACAGGAGTACCAGACCAGGTGTGACAGTAATATTCAAAGCAAGAAGGAATACTAGACTTATATAAGATATATACTGGTGGGAAATTTGTCTAGAACAACACAGTGAACCAACTTTCCTAGCAGCAGACCTAGCAATTGATTCAATATAATCTTTCCACTTTATGTTAGTGCAAAACGTTAGTTTGATAAGGTGCAATGAGTCACTCTCTTGAAGGTTAGCATCAGCCATACTAATGGAAGGTAAAAAGGGTTCTCTCAGACAATTAAAATGATTAAACAACTTTTCAAATAAAATATCTCCAGTTCTATATTGTGGGGATAAATAAGTTTTATATTTTTCTCCAATCTTATTGTTGGCACAAAGATTATGATAAGATTAACTTTCTGTAGCAATTTTTAATCATTCAAAAATACATGGTGATACCTTGAAACCTATAAATACATCAAGATGTTAAAGTTAAATATCTCATTTTTTTTTTCTAATATAACTAGTAATCAGTTAAAATGTGGCTGAAATAGTTTTTTGTATGTTAATTAAATTATTTATCAGTCTGAAATAGGTACCTCCACTGAATTTTCGATACGTAAGGTTTAAAATGAATTTTTAAAAATGGAAAAGCATTCTTGAAAATTTCATTTTAGCTTTAATTGAAAGCTAAATGATTAAATTTACTATTTCCATTAAGCAAAATACTCTGGTGTATTACAAATAGGAATTATATTGATTGGAATCTCAGCTTTTTGCTTGCTTTCACAAAATCGGCCATTTTTGACACATTTGTAAACAAAAGTTAATTCTTGGTTTTAAAAATCTTCCAAAAATAAAATATACTTTTCTGAAACTTTATTTGAGGAATATTAGCTGATTAAAGTATAATTAATCTGATTTGAAAAAAATATTGACTTGAAGTTTAAAATAGCAGAGAAATGTTTATGCACTTATCACTGTTGCTTGTCACTGGTAGATCACTTGACAAGTGATGATAAAATCTGTCAACACTTTTACTGTTGTTCAGAGACTTTCTGTAAAAACATAATTTAAGAAAATGACAGATAAGTGCATTTTTTATATAATTGTTGAGTACTCAGTAATCTTGAAAATGTAAAATATTTTCTGTAATCTAATTTTAGGAATGTTGAGTTTAAATTTACTATAGTCATCACACTTATTTTCTGATTATGTCCTGTATAGTTGATCATACTTTCAAACAGGGGCAAGTTACGTAATATTTTATAAACACAAATTTTTTTAAAAAATTTTCTTCAAAATATTGGGTATAAATGACTTTAATTGTGAGCTTTTCAATTTTTCATTTGTAAATGTAGTTTTTACTTAATAACAATATCCCCTAACAGGATTGAAGTAATGCAGAATTTTAAATGATTTATAATAGGCATGTCAGACTTCATACCTTCATAAATGAAAATAACTGCTCACAGACATATGTGGAACCAAACATCACCATAATCTTTGTGGCAAACTTTCTGAAGTTCTTAAATGTCTGGGGAATATATGAAAAAAATCCATGTACCTCTACTTCTAGGTACTTTCCCTTGAGTGTTGAGTCAGTCTGCATTTCCAGTAGTTCCATCTGTGAATGGTGCTGAGAATAATGCAAATTGATATTCACAAGATGAAAAATCACAAAATCTTTGCTGAAATTCCTTTGACAGCAATTCCAGGTAATTGTCATACTTAGCAAAGATAAATACAGACTCAGTATTGGCAGTTTTTTTCAACTCCTTGCATATAGGAAAATGAATCAAGTTTTCATGTGACAAGTGAGACTTCAATAAAACATTTGATATCATCATATAACTGAGTGATGAGCTTATTTTTACCTTGTAATTTCAAATTATGGTCACTTAAATGGGTTGTATTATCCACTGAAAAAGGTAGATTTTAGAGCCAGCTTTCATCTTGCAATTCATCTGTGCTTTGACCCTTCAACTTCAAAACATAACAATTTTGTGTCGCAATAAAAGATGTTTTTGCAGTACCTTGTGACATGAAAGCCACTGAACTTCTGTGTAGAATGGGACATTTGTAAACTGATTATTCACATCTTCCAATAACTGGTTAAACTGGCGGTGATGCAGAGCATGATCTCTGATATAGTTCATTGTTTTTATGACAAAACTGAACACATGATCTAATTTTAAAATCTTAGAACATAAGCTCTGTTGATGAATTATACAGTGAAAATGCTTGAATGTTGAATCTGGATATATATTTTCTATTTTTGTACCTAATTTGGCAACAACATCATTATGTCTTCCAACCATATTGGCAGCTGTTCAACTTCCTCAAAAATGTCCTGGCTTCTTGTAATATCATGCATTGGGACTAGTTCAATTAGTTCTTTATAAATTTGAAATTCATTGTCACAAGCCTTGATGAAAACTGTGAGCTGTTCTATTCCAGCTATGTCAACAATCATATTAACAATAGAAAAATGTTCAAAACTTGATGATAAAGTCTTCAACTGTCAACTAAAATCACCTGCAATTTCATCAATCTGTTCAGCAACAGTGTTCCTGCTTAATGAAATGTCTTGAAATAAGTGTGACTTCTCTGGACATACAATTTCATCTGTTTTTACAAGACATCACTTTATGAAATCTTCACTGTAAGATTTTTCACTGATGGCAATCATTTTGCAGAGTTCAAAGCTTGCTGTAACAGAATTAACGTTGCCTTTCTGAATTTTTGTAAAGCAACTCTGTTGCTGTGTTAACTTAACCTTGAATTCCTCCGCATTTGAAACATGCATATCTCCTTCATATTTATCATAAGATCGATGGTTTGTCTCATAATGTCTTTTCACATCATGTTCTTTTGGCATTACAGCAGTGCAGTGGTAACATAGGTAAAAAAAAAAATAATTGCATTCATTTGTAAATAAGTTGTGAAAGTTTCATTAAAATCCAATAATTATTTGATTTTTGCAAGAATTTCCAAATCAATATGTCTTTCACCAGGGCGGGGGAAAAAAAAAACATCGTAAATATTACATCAACCACTGATGTAAAAAAAAAAAGAAAAAAAAAAATTTAACCAAAATTTCAAGTATGCTAGAAATGGTTAAAAAATTTAATAAAATAATAATAAATACTTTGGTCTTTCCTCTTAGTAATAACAAACATTTTGATGAAAAAAAGCTCCAAACTTAATAAAATCAAAGTTTTATCATCATGCTATGCAATTTTTCAGTGAAAAAGTGGAGTTACCTAGTCTAAAAGATATTTTTATGCTCCATAATCATACAATTGTTAATACACCAGGAAATGATTAATAATGTTTGAGGAACCTTATTATTTGGTCTGTTAGTCTAAAATTTATAATTTATTTGCTTTTAGATCTTATTTGATGCAATTATTCCTTCATGCTTTTCCTGTCATCTATTTGTACCAAGAAAAATAACTCTCTGTGCTTGCTTATTTTTTTTTTTTTTTTTTAATATGCTTACTCCAGAATCTATTTCACATATCTATAAGTCTACCATTCATTTGAATATTGCTGCCACATCTGCTCTTGTGCTCCTGCTATTTAGATCTCCTTGGTAAAATCCAAAGAATCTGCATTATTATTAGCCCTGATCTGGCATCTCTGCTTCAGTCACTTTCTCACTTCCATAAGGTTGCCTCCCTATGCCTCTTCTATAAATGTTTTCATGGTAATTATTCAGATGAGCTCTTTGCTATGGTGCCTAAAATTTAAGTGCAGTACTAGAC